AAAATATAACACCTAAGAACAAATGTCATCAAGAGAAATGGTGCGCCGCCATTTTTAAATCCCTGGCCGAGGTAATGTAAACAAACACCCTTGTTCAGGTGTTGGTATTGGTATTATATTTTTATATTTTTGAAGGTGATACAAATTGGGAGTTCAGGAATTGTTGCCTCTTTGTGCCTGGTGTAAGATGAAGCATATCTTGAGAGATATATATTGTTTTTCTGAAGCTTCTATATTCATTCTTATCTCTGTAACATTTGGCTTTGTTTGATCTAAGTATTAATTTTGACCTTTTCATACCGTATTGTGTGTTTGTGGCTACGATAGGCTGAAGAGGACCATGTACCTGTGTGTGTGTGTGTGTGTGTGTGTGTGTGTGTGTGTGTGTGTGTGTGTGTGTGTGTGTGTGTGTGAGTGACAATACTACAGGAGGTCTCTTCCCACACCTATTTCCACAATAGGTATACAACATCTCATTTGCATTCTGTGGTCCTGCCAACTACACAAAGTTTACAAATAAAATATATATCATTTGTCACATTACAACTGAAGCGTCACGTTTGCTTTACATTTAGTTTTGCAGTTATTGTACGTAATAATTCACTTCACAATAATTACATGATATAGATCAGTATATTTTTCATTAGCGTCACGTGAACAAACTCTCCAAATATATGTTTCGTTGTTTCCATTACAACTTAAGTTGGATATTGCATTCCATTTATGAAAAAAGTTGAGCGGAAAAAAATAATTACGAAAAAAGTTGGAGAAAGTATTAATATTATTGCGTGAATTATACAATTAAACTCTCCTAAAACACGTGTCAATATTTACATATTAGTTCAGATGGGATGTAACCTGGTTTTAGTATTTATCTATATGAATATTTTCCTTCCGTAGTAAAAACATAAGAAATATATCCAACCTACTTTATAACACCTTCTTCAGTACCTCATGTAACCTGACCCGACCTGGATTGATCTAACCTGTTCTAATCTAATCTGTATGAACCTGACCTAAACCTAACCTAACCTAAACCAATCTGACTTAACATAATCTGAGTTATACTATACGAACCTAGTCTAATCTAAAACAATCTGACTTAATCTAACCTAGACTGCCTTGACCTAACCTAACCTAACCATATATTAAACACCTCAAAAACACAAATCAACGACAGAAACACTAGTGTCCTCTTCAACTCTTCGAGGATAGAGGTTTACAGTGCTGAGTTATAATGGGGAAAAAACCGAAGCTGCCTTTGATTAATATACCATAAGAAAAAACAAAATGTTTCTCTGGGCTTAATTTCTCAAAACATCATAAAATAAACATTCCCCATAAATAAAATGTAAGAACGTAGAGATAAAATTTAAGCCCAAACATTAAAAAATACAATCCCCCCAAAATGATGTCAAAATTACTCTGTGACTATACCTGTACTCTGAGACAATATTGCCATTGAGAATATTTGTGAATTCAGAACTCAATCAAATGTAGAATTTTGATCATAGGTTTGCTGTTACACTGACCCATTTTTTTTCATTAATAAAGTTTTTTTTATAATTATTTTGTGGCAAATATTAAATCCACCTGTAAAGTTCCACCTATATCGGGTTACCAGTTTTAGCTTCGGTAGTGTTGAATATTTTCTGAGTTGACGTGTGATTTCTGCCTCTATAATGACGTGTGACCTGTGATGTTTGCCTCTGTGTGTTAACCTATAACCTGTGAAATTTGCTTCCCCGTGTTGACCTGTGACCTATGATCTGTTTTATCAGGGGTTTAAGGGGTTATAGTTATCAGGAGAGAGAGAGAGAGAGAGAGAGAGAGAGCACAATCACTGGGTAATCTGGCGCAGCAATATCCTACGGGACAGACTAGATAGATATTTACCAAAAATCGACAAACAAGCTCCCATTGGTGAATCATGTAAACAGACTGTGCAGGTATACAAACAATTGCAAACAGTAAGTCGATGCAACAAGAGCGGTGCGGAGGGTTTGTTTACACTGAGGTCCTGCCATCCCTGTGATGACCAATGAAACAATCATAGACTACGGTATGTCATCAGGGAGGACACAGCACGTAACGTAGCAAGACCTTGTTATTCCAGGTACCGGGAAGCTGGAATCTTCATCTGTGATATTTTATATTTTAATCCTCAAACTAAAGAAAGATGTTTGCTACAATCCCGGATCATGTTCATTGCCTTAAAACAAGAAAAAGAAAAAAAAAAGAAAAAAAAAGACGATTCAGAAGTAATGGACTCGGAGGAAAGTTTCCAACCTTGCTAAAACCGAGTGCTCCCCAGTGCATCAAAGAAACCGAGACCCCTGCTGGACAGAAGTGAGGATAGACTCCCCAAAAAATTAAGTGAGTTCTGTCTTTGCGTCCCTCAGGCCGGAGCTTTGAAGTGCAATGCCCTTGTATTCTCGTTCCCTCTCTAATTGGACCTGATCCATGGGATAATTCTTCTTTAAGAATCTAAGGTTTATTCAAAGGTTTTTCTGTGTCTACAGGGTACTATTTATAGCTTTATTTACTGAGAGAGATTGTTATCGTTGTTTAAAAAAAGTCTGTCCGTTGAATAATGTTACTATCTCTTATATATATATATATATATATATATATATATATATATATATATATATATATATATATATATATATATATATATATATATATACATATATATACGCAAGAACTCTTACACCGTGAACTGTTAAGGTCGAGGAAAGTTCAGGTACTTTCACTAGGCTCAAGTTTTAATGTTTGAAGCTTTTAGAGAAAATTAAAAGCGAGAGAAAGTTTTTATTCATGAGGGTAAAAGTTGGTGAGACTTGTTAAAATGATATGGAGATTATTATTATATGTTGGAGAGAGAGAGAGAGAAAGAGAGAGAAATATATACAAAATAACTGATAGATATACTACAACGAAGAGCAATAAAAACATAAATAAATGGTTTTAAGAAAATAATCTCCATCATCTAAAAAAATTAGATAATCTTTTTATAAATTTTTTTTAATATGGACAGTAAATCTTAACACTCCGTAAAATATCAAACATCAACTATTACAGCAAACTTAGGCGACTCTTGTGTAAAATTCTGCAGGTGATGTCACAGGTGATGTCATTAATTACATCCTTGAAGCAACAACGTCATTTTTACCACCAGCATCTCCCATAAAACGACTAAAATAAAGTTATAAATTGGTAATAAAATATATTTAATTAATTATTTTCACTTGATAACTGAAAATTTCTTCCATTCACAACATTAATTGTCAATACTGTTGTGATCAGTTGTGTCACAGGAACATAGTTATTCTATATACAGTACATGGTCTTAATGTGTGTGTGTGTGTGTGTGTGTGTGTGTGTGTGTGTGTGTGTGTGTGTGTTATAAACCCTTTAACGACGAAAGGATTAACCATCGTTTTCAAAGGCCTAAATCACCATTCTCAACGGATTAAACCATCGCTTTCTAATTATTAAAACATTGTTCTTAAGTATCTAAACCATCTTTCTCAAAAAACAAACCACCATTCTCAAAGGGCAAATTAATAACTTAAAGGGTTAAACCATCGCTATCAAATAATTTGTACATAATCCTCTAAGGGTATTAATCCTCCTCAAAGGATTAACCATCCTCCTTAAAGGTTTAAAACATCCTCATCAAACGGTTAAAACATCCTCATCAAAGGGTTAAAACATCGTGCTCAAAAGGTTAAAACATCCTCATCAAAGGGTTAAAACATCGTGCTCAAAAGGTTAAAACATTCAAACGGTTAAAACATCCTCCTCAAAGGGTTAAAACATCGTGCTCAAAAGGTTAAAACATCCTCATCAAAGGGTTAAAACATTGTCAAAGTATCTAAACCATCTTTCTCAAAAAACAAACCACCATTCTCAAAGGGCAAATTAATAACTTAAAGGGTTAAACCATCGCTATCAAATAATTTGTACATAATCCTCTAAGGGTATTAATCCTCCTCAAAGGTTAAAACATCTTAAAACACCCTTCTTAAGGGCTAAAACATCCTCCTTAAAGGTTTAAAACATCCTCATCAAACGGTTAAAACATCCTCATCAAAGGGTTAAAACATCGTGCTCAAAAGGTTAAAACATCCTCATCAAAGGGTTAAAACATCGTGCTCAAAAGGTTAAAACATCCTCATCAAACGGTTAAAACATCCTCCTCAAAGGGTTAAAACATCGTGCTCAAAAGGTTAAAACATCCTCATCAAAGGGTTAAAACATCGTGCTCAAAAGGTTAAAACATCCTCCTCAAAGGGTTAAAACATCGTACTCAGAGAATTAATGCCCCGGGGTCATCTGACAAATGAGTCTTGGTGAAGGAATAACGCCATCATGTTGAAAAAGACCAAAACATAAGAGGGAAGGAAACTTAGCTGTGTTGAGGAGGTGGATGAAGACATTTGTAGGCTGAGGTATGTAAAGGATGTCTCCCTGGGGCTGTTGTGAACGTATTTGTAAATTAAGAAAGAAAGTAAAAATAAAAATAATAACATTAGTAACACTGGTAATAATAGTAAGGATGATGATAAAATAATAATAACAATCAAAATATTAATAAAAAACATTACTAAAAATAATACCAATAAAAATAACAACCAAAAAATAACAACATTCCAATAATAACACTAATATAATAATTCACCTCAAGTGTAAACAATGAGGTAACACGGGACACCTTTAAGACGTACCCAAGTCTGATGATTTATAACACCTTAGCTCACAGGTACGAGACACCTTAGCGAGTCTCCGTACACTAGCGGAGATTAATGTGTAATCTATATCCCACAGAACAACGGAGGGTAATAATGCAAGGGAGGTTTTTTTTGAGTAAGGATGAAGTGTAATCTTGAGAGAGAGAGAGAGAATTCAAACGATTATTAGAAAAATTATTCTCTCTCTCTCTCTCTCTCTCTTTCCATGCCTCATATTCAGATAGCCAGGTGAAGGAGACTCACCTGTAGATGGGCGTGGTGAGGTGGTCTCTAAACCACAGCAGGAGGAGGATGTCGTCGTCTGGGGGATGGGACACTTCACAGAGGTACAGCAGTGTCTACACTGCCCACTCGTTAATGGGTTGTCACTGCCACCCCATGAGGTACTTTAAAGAGGATAGACAGTGTCGTTAATGGGTTGTCACTGCCACCCCATGAGGTACTTTAAAGAGGATAGACAGTGTCGTTAATGGGTTGTCACTGCCACCCCATGAGGTACTTTAAAGAGGATAGACAGTGTCGTTAATGGGTTGTCACTGCCACCCCATGAGGTACCCCATGAGGTATTTTAAAGAGGATAGACAGTGTCGTTAATGGGTTGTCACTGCCACCCCATGAGGTACTTTAAAGAGGATAGACAGTGTCGTTAATGGGTTGTCACTGTCACCCTGTATACAACTGTAATATGGACACTGTCGTTCTTGTCTTACTGGCCAAATAAATGAGGTAAAACTTGATTATCTTAAAAGAAAATTAGTATAAATTAAATTATTCCGTATATATTCCACTAAAGTTTAATAAAAACTAAATAAATTCAATAATTATCTTCGCTAAACTAATGAAAATAAAGTAAACGTAAAATAAATGTGAAATTTCGAAATTTACCTTCAACACCTTAAAACTTGAGACTTACCCTATTGTCTGAGAATTCCCTTGAAATTGAAAATAATTTTAAAATTTGAATAATTACTTGAAATCTTCTAATTGTCTTAAAAATAAAACATTAACGGAAACTTTAACATTTCTTTAAAACTTAAAAATTACCACGAAACAGAAATTACCTTAAAATTTAAAATTTACACTGAAACTTAAAAATTACAATAAACCTTGAAAAAATTACCATACAATTTTAAAAACATTACCATAAAACTTCAAATATCCTTTAAACTTAAAAAAATCCCTTAAAACGTAAAAAAATAACCCAAAAACATTTACCCTAAACTAAAAATTACAAAATAAAGTTCAGAATCAACCCAGCAAAGTTCACGAAAAAATAAATAAAAAAATAAATAAAATTGAGCTTGACTGAAACTGCATAATTACTCTGGAGTGTAACAGGTGATTCAACCACCCATCTGTTCGGGCTTAACGACCCAATTAAACACCAATAACAGCACGACAGCTTCCCATTAGCGCTCGTGGCCAATAATATATGCGGTACATAACGGTAAAAACTGCCTAATTCAACCTATCCACACTGGCATGTATACAGGAATGGTAGTTACGTGTGGGATACTTAAATGCAATGGTTATTAGGACTACCTGTATGTATACATGTGTACGGTAATGGTAATATGTAATACTTAAGGCTAATGGTTATTTAGACGTAATATATATACATGAATACATTAATGGGCGTCAAGTTCATTGTTGATTATTGTCACGATGCTGAACTATGTATACAACGTTACAGTAATGATAGCTAATGCTGTCTCATAAACGATGCTTAAACACCCTGGTCTTTAAACCACCCGAAGACAACAAAAAACAACAACAATAGTAATAACCATCAATTTCATTTAATTTTCTCTCTTATGAATACATTACGACTCTTCAAGAATCATAAGTTTTCACGAGAGCCTTAAAATTCCATTAAAATCAGACATAATGCACGCAGTAAGCTTACGATATATAGCGCATTATAAGCTGATATATGACTTCATTACACAACGTAAGGCGGGGCTGAATAATGAGCGCTCTTAGGATACACTTGCCCGCGTATATCGCATGGCTGGCCAATGTTTGAAGACAATCAAGTACACGACGACTGGTTTGTCTTCTTTTTCTCAGAGCAGACGTCTACTTAACCTAACCAAAGCTAACGTAACTTAACTAATCAACGTAACATAGAATAGTATAACCAAACATAACCTAAACAAACTAATCTAACGTAAACAAAATAAACCTAACCTATCTTTAAATAACCGACCAAAGCTAAATCTAGCCAATACTACACTAACGACCATACTTAGGTTAGGTTGGGCTAGGCTGGGTTAAGTTAGGTTAAAATATAAACAAACTATACTGTAGAACGTCAATGTGACAACGTTTTCATCCATCACGTATCGTACTTCGTATTAATAAAAAGATTGATGGGTGAAAACATAGAGTAAACTGACGTGCCAAGCTTTTGATTAGGTGGATAAACAAAGCCGCTGTCACCGACCTCCCCAACGCTCGACCAATGAACACACAGGAGACCAATGAGAGTAACGTACCATTGTGTTTATCAGCATTTCAACGGGATTACATTCTAACATTAAAAAATACGTTATTTTTTATTTCACACGGCAATGATAGCACTATAAACGATTAGAAAGACCACATATTCATTAAAATCAATACAGAAGTGTGTAGGAATAGCGGAAATCCGAATAGAATGGATACATATGCTTGATGAAAGGACCGCTCCATTGTGTCCATAATCAGTTTGTGTAGGTATATGTTCACGCCTTTATTTTACGGGTGGCATTTCTGAGCGGAGATGATTTTTTTTATGTGAGAGTAACAAGCTCTTACTCTAATGAACAATAGAGAGGAAGAGGAGAAGAGGGGAGAAGGGGGAAGAGAATGCAATAGAAGGTTGGAAAAAAAAGGGAGAGGGAGATAACGAGAAGGATGAGAAGAGGGACATAAGAGAAAAGTGAGTCAATTGAAATCGTGAGAGAGAGACATTAATAAAAAATACTTAATCCTTATTTTCCCTCTTCCTCTCTCTTTCTCTTCCCAATTACCTACATACTAACAAAATGAGGCAAACAAATTAATCAAATGACTCACACCTCCAAGCTACATAACAAATTCACTCCATTTAACATTATATAGCTCCCACATGTTAAATTATATATTGAAGCATTATAAATCTCGGGCTATATTGTGCACACCGAAAGTTTTTACCCATCCTTCCAAAATAAAATACCGGAAACAATAATGGTATGTGACCGGTTGATTAACTTAATAGCTGAATAATGTCAGTTACTTATTTTATATATTTATATATATACTCCTGTATGTATGTATGTATGTATGTATGTATGTATGTATGTATGTATGTATGTATAACAATTTACAGTATATTACTTAAATTACCTTGACTACAATTATATGTAAGCCCACTGTTTTACCTGACTTTATAACTTATTTTCTTTAACCAAAACGAAAATTTTACCGATATTCCATTAGCTCAATCTAACCAAAGTCAAGAGAGTTTAGAAAGAAATTATATTGATTTAAACTTATTCATATTCATATTTTTGCCTGCGGTTAGTCAGCCCAAGACCCGCCTTTCCTGACCTGACTAGTGGAAAGTTTACAATAATGTTAAGAGGGATAATAACACCCGAACAAGAAAATTAAATTCCTTACTTTGTAATCTTCCCTGAGGCCACCACCCACTGTTTGAGTCCACAAGAGTCGTACCTTAAATTCTTTCCCCTTAACTGGCAGAGGTAGAGTCTCGGCAATCTAGGTACTATATTGACTTCTAATTTTGGGTTGTAAGTTAAGTGAGTCAGTTATATACATTTTCACATCTCCAGTTAGGGGGGAAATGAATGTAAGATCCTCTGAGAATCCTTCTTTGTGTTGTAAGTTAACTGAACCAGTTAGATACGTTCTCACATCTCCAGTTAAGGGAAAAAATTTACGTAAGGTACCCTAGAGAATCCCGGCCTAGACTCCCACCACCACGCTCAACAATGGCGGGGAAAATTAATGGTTCTCAGATTTCCCTAAACGAAGTCGAGCTATTTTCGTCCTGTAGGACAAACAACACCTGGGGCGGAGACCATCCTAGGGTATATGTTTTATAAAAAGTTTGTAAACAGGTGGATGGTGTCTGAGAGAGAGAGAGAGAGAGAGAGAGAGAGAGAGAGAGAGAGAGAGAGAGAGAGAGAGAGAGAGAGATATTAATAAAAAATACTTAATCCTTATTGGCATATCATTAGTAGCGATTAAGACGTGAGAACCTGGATAAACATTACTCTTTGGGAAGCTTTACTGAAAACAAATTTTATACGACATTAAAAAAACCCAATTTTTCGATACACTAAACATATACTTTTATCATACTGTTGTGTCGAAATATATCATCATCATCATCATCAACATCAACGTCATCATCATCGTTATAATTATCATCATCATCATCAACATCAACATCATCATCGTCATCATCATCGTTATAATTATCATCATCATAATCATCATCGTTATAATTATCAACATCATCATTATTTAGTAGTTTTTTGTACATCATTAACGAAAACATTACTGAATATAGAAATTAAAATCGAAGTAAAATTCCACCTTTTTTCAGGGCTGTTTAGTGCGGCTCCAACCCACTGAAGCCTGAGTCCCTTCTCTATACAAGGATGCAGTGTCTTCGGTACTGTACTCAACGACCCTCACATTGCAAACTGTAAAGTCAGGTAGCTAATCATAGGTGGGCGAGAACCAGTGACTCTTAGGACAGGTTGTGAGCATTGTATCCACTCAGTCTCCGCTACCCACACCAACAGTAGGTACAGTCCCTTCGTAGAAATTTTAAGTGGAATCACCAATAACAATATTTTCTCAGTTATGAACTATGTCTTTTGTTAATTTATTTACCACTGGAAGACAAGAAAGAAGATAAATCAACCTGATGTTAAAATTAATAATTATATGGAATTAACATAATGTTAACTGGATTTCTGAAAGAGAATCGTTTTAACAAGCTGGTGTGATATATTCGTAAAATTTAACTGATAGTAACATTAATATTTATAAAATTAAAAAAAAATTCTTACCATCAATTTCGTTTCATTATGTTAGAAATTTCCGTCGAATTTAACATTTATCGAAGTTAAGTGTGCCAATGTTCACCAAAGACACTGCTTTCATTAACATTGATTATAAAGTTGCTGTGTATGTTAATTTATTATGTATGTGTATGTAATGAACTTCTTTAATTTCTAGATCAAGCTAAATTTTCATTATGTTAAGACTTTTGGAAAAATACAGTGCCCTCTGCCATCTTTCATTATCTTTGGCGCTCGTTTTGTTTC